GTGGGTTCGATCCCCAGAGTGGGCATACAGGAGGCAGCCAATCAATGATTCTCTTCCATCATTGATGTTTCAATCTCTCTCTCTCTCCCCCTTCCTCTCTGAAATCAATAAAAACATATTTAAAAAAATAAATTAGACAATGTGTGGCCATGCTGTATTGCAATAAAAAAAAAGAGGCACTTGTGTCTAATTCTGTCTCCTAAATGGAGGGCCTTAAGAGTCTGTAAAAGGCAGGCCAGAGATGAGTCCCTAGGAAGGGTTGAGGTTGAATTGCCCATGGTGTTACTGCCATATGGGCATTTGCAGGGAGAAAACAATGGCCAGTGTCCCAGCCTGGTTGCTGCCCCTTCCTTGTGCTGAAGCTTATTCCAGGAGGCATCCCTCAATGACTAGAAAAGACTCTGTTCGGGACTCAGTGACCCCCAGTGGCTAGGGATAAAGAGGGGTGCCCCCGCTAAACCAAAACTCACATGCCGAATCTCACAGTCCCCCAAATAAAATCCTACAGGGCGTTTTGGACCAGGACTTGGGCGGTGTGTGGTTTTCATAGTGTGCCTCCATTGCTTGGACGTGTGCTTACCACCAGCGAGCTGCCTAGAGCGATCTTGCCCATCCCAAGCCCAGTTTATCCTGTCACAGGAATCTTCTAGTGGCAGCCACAGTAGAGGCTTTTAAAAGGCTGACCCACGCCCACAAGTGGTGGCCCCATGGGGAGCCGAGAGTCTTGGTCCCTAGTGCCCTCTTCCCAAAAATGAAGTAACTCACCCATTAGTAGAAATCAGAAGGTCTGATGATCTGGCACTCCTGCCGCTGCTGGGGAGTCGGGAAGGCCTTGGTTGCTGTTAGACCCAGAGACTAAAAGTCTCTAAGCATAGGGGTGGGGTGAGGGGAAGGGAAGGAAGAAAGCTTCCCTTCTGGCTATCCCCCTATAGGCCACCAAAATGAAAGGTGAACATGGTGGATGGTGGATGCAGGCAGGCTAAACAACCATCTCAGTCAGTGAGTAAAGGAAAATGAATGTATTTAAGAGAAGTGGGTGGGGGTTAGGATATCCCAAGGGAAGGGCTGCACAGCACCCAGCCACGGGGACATTGGGTCAATGAGAGCAGCACCCAGGAGCTGGACTTTCATTCTTATAGGCAGTCACTGGTGGGTCTAGGGCAGTGATGGCAAACCTATGACACGCGTGTCAGAGGTGACACGTGAACTCATTTTTTTGGTTGATTTTTCTTTGTTAAATGGCATTTAAATATATAAAATAAATATCAAAAATATAAATCTTTGTTTTACTATGGTTGCAAATATCAAAAAATTTCTATATGTGACACAGCACCAGAGTTAAGTTAGGGTTTTTCAAAATGCTGACACGCCGAACTCAAAAGGTTTGTCATCACTGGTCCAGGGGCTGAGCTGGTGGGCTTGGAATGCAGATGGAATGCTCGAGTGTGATCAAGTGCCTTTAGGACCGTTTCCAATTCCTTGTGTGGTCTGATCTGGTGCCCTGCAAGTTTTTCCTGGTGTTTTGTTCTCCTGTGGCAGGACTCACAAATGGCTCTCAAGGCTTGTGTTGCCCTACAGGCCCAACACTAAATGTCAAAAGAGGGAGAGAGAGAGAGAATCAGCCTGACAGCTACTAGACCTAGGATTTGGGAACTCTCCTATTTGTATGTGTAAAAGTCAACTCATTTGCTGAGTATCAGTGTCAAAAAACTGCAAAATAAAAATAGAGACAACGAGAGATGGTTGCTAAGTTTATTTTTAGTCCTAGCATTCTCTGACTCTCTCCTTCTCTCGGTGTTTTATGGATCTATGCATGAATGCGTGTGTTGGGATAGGACGTGGGATCAGGGTCACTGTCATGCACAAAAAGAAAAGAAGAGACCCTAACAGGACTTGAATATTTGAATAGATAAGGCTGAGGGAAAGGGAATGAGGATAACTTTTTTTAAAGTATTATTTTGTTGACTCAGTTACTTTAACTTCTGCTAAATATTTATAATTCTATGACAACATTGGGTTAACTCAGCAGAACTACTTCCAAGTGACAAAATATATTGGGACTTTATAAAGGGAAACATAAAATGCTGTTACAGCTACTAAACTGGGAACTGGAAAACGAAGAGGAAGTTAGAAGAGACAGCATCCTTACTGGAGTAAATGAATAAAAATAAGAATTTTAAACTTAGTTTAAAAAGATTAAAAAGTACCCCCCCCCAAATGAACATCCATCCATTCAAGTTATATTTAATCTTTCTGTCATATAAGACATTGTGCTAAATTCTGTGGAACAAGCTTTTAGAAACAAGACTCATTTTTACCGTCATGAAATTTAAGACCAGTATGATAAATAGGACAGCCAATATAATAATTACAATATGAGATAAAATGTGTCATTGCACAGAGACTATGCAAAGAGGTTCAAATCTCTCTCTCTCTCTCTCTCTCTCACACACACACACACACACACACACACACACACACACACAAATTAAGAGGCTGAAGAATTAATTTCTGATTGGGATTATTAGAGGAAGTTTCAAGGAAAATATAATATTTGAACTGATCTTGAAGAATAACTAGGATTTTAACAGGTAGAAATTAAAGATGGAGGAAAGAGGAGGTTAAGGTAAAGGACATAATTTCAGATAGAAGTAAACTTCATTAACTAAAGTACAGAAAATAGCATTAATTTGGAATAGTGAGCTGTTCAAGAAAACTATAAAGTATGGTACATTCAGAATTAGGGGAGGGCAATGTCACAGAGGGCAAAAAAAGAGAGTGTCAAGGAGTTAATGTATCAAGTGATACATATTATATTAGAGGATGGAGACAGGGGAAAAGATGCTTGGATTTGTTATTTAGAGGTCATTTTAATGGAGCAGAAGGCAAAGTACACAGGGTTGAGAAATGAGTGGTCAGAACAACAGACCACAAAACAAGCCAGTATCTTTGAAAAAGAGTAACTAGGCTAAATTAAGACACTTAAGAAACGTAACATTTCTGAGGCAAGTGTGATCCTAAGTTTGATATAATTGTGGGCAAATCAGCTATAAAAGATATTTTGGGGACAGTTGGAAGAATTGAATCAAGATTGAGTATTCCTTAATGTACAATCATACTGTATAATGTGGAGATTGATAACTGAAAAAAAGAAAGCAGTTTATAAAACAATATGCATTTACACCCACATTCATAGCACTGTTATTCACAATAGCTAAAAGGTTGAAGCAACTCAAATATCCATTGACCAATGAAAGAATAAACAAAATGTGACCAATACATATAATGAAATAGTATTCAACTTTAATAATGAAGGAAATTCCAACACATGCTCTAACTTGGATGAATCTCAAGGATATTGTGCTAAGTGAAATAAGCCAGTCACAACAAAGATGAATGCTGTATGATTCCACCTATACTGTAGTCAACTCCATAGAAACAAAATAGAATGGTGGTTACCATAGGCTGGGGGAGAGGGAAGTAGGGAGTTGTCAAATAGTATAGAGTTTTAGTTTTGCAATGTGAGAAAGTCCTGAATTTTGCACAATAATGTGAATATACTTAACACTACTGAACTATATGCTTAAAAATGATTAAGATGGTAAATTTTTGTTACATGTATTTTACTGCAATTAAAAATGCTCATGAACTAATATGTACATTTGATCTATTTTGTTAATTGTGCATAACAAAAAATATACATACATATATACAAGTATGAATGTAAACACATACACACACATATATGTATATAAAAGAACCAGAAGGTATTAAGGTGCTAAAGTAATAATCAATGACTGGTAGAATATGGGATTTTTATTTTCTTATTCTTTTTTTAAATATATTTTTACTGATTTCAGAGGGGAAAAGAGAGAGGGACAGATATAGAAACATCAATGATGAGAGAGAATTACTGATTGGCTACCTCCTGTACAGCCCCATGCTGGGGACCAGGCCCACAACCCAGGCATGTGCCCTGACTGGGAATTGAACCATGACCTCCTGGTTAATAGGTCAACACTCAAAGACTGAGCCACTCTTGCCAGGCTATTTTCTTATTTTTTTTATTATTAAATCTTTACTGTTCAGGTTATTACATTTGTTCCTCTGTTTTCCCCCTATAACTCCCCTCCTCCCAGTTCCCACCCCACCCTCCGTCCTCACTCCCCACCCACTGTCCTCATCCATAGGTGAACGATTTTTGTACAGTCTCTTCCCGCATCTCCCACACCCCTTTCCCCCCCAAGAATAGACAGTCCATTCCCTTTCTATGTCCCTGATTCTATTATAATCACCAGTTCATACTGTTAATCAGATTCTTTATTCACTTGATTCTTAGATTCACTTGTTGATAGATGCGTATTTGTTGTTCATAATTTGTATCTTTACCTTTTTCTGCTTCTTCCTCTTCTTAAAGGATACCTTTCAGCATTTCATATAATACTGGTTTGGTGGTGATGAACTCCTTTAGCTTTTCCTTATCTGTGAAGCTCTTTATCTGACCTTCACTACTGAATG